GTTTTATTAGAGACTGAAGCCAGCACAGGATATTGAGTACCTCAGCAGCAAAGCAATACAGTCCATGGCTGGCAGAGTTTAATGTCTATCTGATTGTATTTCCAATTACGAGAAATGCACTGAAGCCAGTCCTAAGGCAGGCCAGAGAGCTCCAAGTGCTGCAATCTGGGCCATTTAGCTGCGTTATGACTTCTTCTCCTCACTGATGATTCATTTGGAGAGCAATTACAGCTCTCATAAAAATGTGTTCCCAATTAAAGACTGAGACTGACTCTGAAGGATTAGACAAATTGAGAAGTAACCTTTGCAGTAGAAGTGGGATTTGTACAAGCATCCCTTTTTTTGTTCATGTCAAGCTAAATCCTGTGTGAACCAGTGGGATGAAAACTCCTGCTGAAAACCTTCTCCAAAGTCCACAGTGTCCTTCCTTACACGAAAGTCAAGTCTGAACTGGGGATGTGGTTTTTTGAGCTGCACCTTGCTGCTGCACTGTTTGAGATCCGGCATTCCAAAAGAGAGCAAGCAAAACCCTTTCCAGAGAGGATGAGCCCAAACAGGAGCTAGATCGCAAATTGCTGGTACCTACTGGCAGGGCCACTTGGCAGCATCCCTGGGACTGAGCGATGGGGACCATGCAGCAATGTGGACCACACTGTACTGTGTCCCTGCTCAGGCAGCAGCCTTCCCCTGCCCTGCCTGTTACCTCCACCCCGGCGCAGCCACCGAGGCGGAAGCTGCAAATCCATCCTGTGTGCACAGGCCTTATTCTGATCCCACTGAAGCCGATACATGCTTCAGGCGGTGGCTCCTAAGAGCTTCAAACAACCGTATTAATCTGTGACAGCCTCCCCTGCCAAAGCATGCGGGTTGGTGAAGGAGCAGAGAGCACAGCAGGAGCTGCACAGCCAGACTTTTATGGCCACAAAGGCCAAGTCGCACCTGCTAACGGTTGTGAATAGCCTTGCAGACAGCACCAGGTGTGCCATTTCAACAGATTTCACAACTGGGTGTGCCTTTCATCTATGTATAGAGCCCCAGCAAGGGGATGAAGCATGCTCTGCAATTGTCCTTATTTAGCAAAACCCCTATTTGGCCAGTGGGTCCCCCTGCTCGGTCGGCACATGTATTTCAGGAGCAATTATCCCACTTGCCCTTGGCCTGGCCCCAGCCCTGGCCCTGCAGGGAGTGAGGAGCACCGCAGTTCTCGTTAGTAGAGAGGGATGGTAATGAGCGAACAGGTGAAAAGGCAAGCGGCCACTTGCCAGGGGAGCATGTTTCCAGTGGCACTGGGAGCATCCCACACCCAGGGAGCAAGGGCAGACAGGGCACCCCATGCCCCATCCCTGCGCCTGCTTCCCTGGCCCTGTGGTGTAATTCAGCTCTTTTAGAGAAGGAGCTTTAGTCATATCAGTGTCCAGTGCTTAGTGCCACGAAACCTGAGAGTAGCTCTGGGCTTGTAGATACTTTACAAACGGGCAAAAAACAGTAATAAATGAAGTCCATGTACTTGCAGGGTGCTGGTAACATCTCTTCTGCCACCTAATAGCAAGCCTGACAGCAATATTGCATTCAAGATGTTATAATTTTAGGCTTTATTAGAAGCCTGAGTCATAAATTCAGGTTCATTAGATTATCTCTACATCCCAAAGCTGCATTGTAAATGTGAGAGAGATGCAGTGATTTGTTTTTTGAATGCAGACCACTCAATTGTACTCAACAAAAGAAAGACACTGATCAGATAAGAGTTTTGCAGGGTAGAGTCAGTACTCATTAGCAACAAACAGGACCTTGTTTCACGCTGAACTGTCTTCTCCCCATGGACATATGTGTGGTGGCACATCCAAAGGATGGGTCTAAAATGCAGATGTGATTTCAAGATTCCATTAGAAGCACATTTTTCCTGCCTGGACTTGGTTGATGTATATCAGATTTGCTCTAATTATAATCTTTGAAGTGAGCCCTGACGAGAGAAATGGCATCCGAACTGCTCTGGTTTTATTTTTATAAATATGAATCATCTGCTGGTTTGAAAAAATTTCAGGACCTTTCTCCCACATTTTCAAACCTTCCTAATTCCTTATTAAAATACCCACCAAAATTAACCAGATATATGTTTATATTTAATAGCGCAAATCCAAACACCAGATACAACACTGCTTTATGTACAACTTTTGCTATATTGCCCTGCAGCTCTTTCTGTGGAAAATTCCCAAATTGTGGAAGGAAACTAAACCAATCTCTTGTCCCTTTTGTTCCTGTTTGAGAACTACAAATTGTGGGGAGGCCGGGCAGAGCACGGGGCCAGGTGCAGCATTCCTTGAGTGTGAAGTCTTCAGAGGAACCACAGTCCCCCAGGATTTTTTAGGTGTCTGCCCAATAGACCCCATGGACCAGGAGGCATAGACCAGGAGACAGCGGCAATCCTGTTCAGCTTCTTGCCTGGCCTTCTGAATTGTGGAGGGATGCTGAGGGACTGCTTAGCTCATGCAGCTGCCCTCTGTCACAGTTATCTGTAAAAGAAGCCATCTGAAGCCTGTACCTTGTACTGGCGAAGTCAACTCGGAACACAGTGGAGGGCTGCCTGTCCCTGTGCCTTTGCACCTTCCCTCCCTGCCCACCCTTCCATGCTGCGCTACCATGCGCTCTCCACCCTCCTGTCTGAGTGACCGGAGCCAGCAGCAGCAGTCTGGGCCAGATTTTGGCAAGTCTGGAGCTGCCCTTGGTGCTCCCCCACCACACATGCTCTTGCAGCAGGACAGTACATTAGAGGAACAGCCATGGCACCTTGGAAGGGGCAAAGCATGAATGTTTCAAACTGTCTGGTTCAAAGATGTGCAGCCATGGCACAACCGGCTTGCACCAGCTGGGTGGTGCAGAGATTTTAGGACCTTCATCCTCCCCCTTCTTGTGGATGGCATTGTGATCTCCCTACAGCCCGGCAGCCCCATAGCTCATGATGTGCATGTGATGCTGGCACACTGGCTGTGGTCTGGTGGGTCCAAGCCAAATGCAGGTGCTGAGACTTGAAGGCTCTTCTAGACAGACTAATCAATGAAATGTGTGTTTAGTCTGATGAATCACACCTTGAATGCCTGTCACCCACACCTGAGGGTCAAAAACATGGGCTCTCACCAAGGTTGTTAACACAATGTGAGTGCACCCTTGTGAAGCGCAGAATCCAGGTCCTGGATGCGGCAGGGAGGGAATGGCTGATGGGAGAAAGCTCTCAGCATCACATGAAGAGCCTCATTAGAAGTGGAGTTTCGTCCATTTGTAATTCTGGCACAAATGGTATAGATCCATAAATGCTGCTTTGAAAAGTCTCAAACTGTGACACCCCTCCCCTACGCCAGTTTACTTTGCCAAATTACTGCATTATACAGCAAGACAGGCTTTTGACATGCATACACACACACTCATTAGCTTGACACTAAACAGATCAACAAGCTACTGTAGCAATTCTGATGGAATCAAACAGATACTTTGGTAACTAGAGTCTGGAATGAAGGACATTATTTATTACACACATTGTAGTAGCTCACAGAGGCCTCAGCAGCAATCAGAACACATAGTACTAGACACTATAAAGACATGGAGCAGTGGAGATCCCTCCCTAAAACAACTTCCAGTGTAAATACATGGACAGACAGAATTTATTTGCTTTTCACAGTAACTCAACCCTTGACTCACCACAGACCAGGCACAGTTTGACACAAATGTGTCTGAACTTTCACAAAGATATGTGACTCCCACAGGCAAAGGCTGCTCTTTCTTCAGTGGCTTTCCAAGGACCTTTCCTCCCTGTTAGTAGAGGAACCAGCAAGCACCAGTTCTAAAAGCTTTTAAAAAAGAAATTATTTATTTATAAGGCTATTTAGATATGCAGTGATTTTAAATCAGCCACTGGATACCATCAGGTATCTGCACTGCACTTAATACTAGTTGCTATATGAAAGTTCATGTATTCACAGTGCTCATCTTCTAAACATAATTGGTACCTCAGCAATCCTAGGAGGACATATAATGTAGGCATGTTAATTAGCATTAAGTCAGTGAATAATATAAACCAGTGCATCATTAAACTGCCAGATTTGATTCTCTTTCATTCATGCTCTTAAGTTTCACATGACAAATGTTCCACATCTAAGCTACGCTGCTAGAAGTAACATACGTTCTAATTAGACCACTTTGTTAAATTGTGTTGCTTAGTATGTCTGTGCAGGTTGCATGGGCTTCAGTGTAATCTGCACAAATGATCAGAAGTAAAGCACTTCTGATCATTAGGTTTCAAGGCACATTATCTAAGGGGTAAGTTTCATTCTTCCCATTTGGGTGACAGAAACCGAGACCACTGAAATCACCTGTATTAGTCACCGCAGAGACAAATTAAAAGAATTTGCCCTCTCTAGTCCCACTTTTGAGGGCAAAGTTTGGTCTCATAAGCAACTATAACCCATAAAACAAACAAAGCAGCATGTGTTCTAGTAGAAGCCCCCATCATTCATCCATCACCATCACTGCTGCTCAGCATTATAGTGGGAACACACAGAAGCACATAATCTTACAGCTGGTCTATTGTCAAAATGACACATTAGCAGAAGGATTTACACAGACACATTTGCTTGTAAGATGAAGGTCTGCATGTTGAGAAATGCAAACAGGAGCTACACACCACAGAGAAAGCTACACCCCAAAAGCTGTGCATTACTCAGGAAGGTAGTAATTGTATCTGTGATTATTAAGCTTTGCTGCTTCCACCCCAAAAAATGTCAGAAACTACAGTGAACACACAGTTGCCAGTATGTACAGACCCCAGTGACAGGCTCACACAGCAGCTGCACTAAGGTCCTGAGTGAGTCTTTAAAATAGTGGCAGCACAGTGCCATGAAAGAGAATGGAACACATTAATTTGACTTTTGTGCAAAAACTCACATTTGCCTCAGAGGCAAATCCTGGCCCCAGTGAAGCCAGCAAGTGTTTTGCTAATGATGGAAACTGGGTCAGGACTTTAATTGAGATTTTATTTCCAAATTTATTTCCAGAAAGATTTGCCCCATGAGAAGACATGATGATCAGATTTGCAGTTTTCTGTATCCACAGAACCAGCTGGAAAGCTTTTCTTGCAATCGAGGTGCTTTGATCTTATTTTTTCCGTAGCTTGGGTGCTATGTTGTCTTGGAACCATGTGAAGCTGAAGATGACGCCCATTGTCTTCTGGAGAGTCTCATCATAAGCAAACTTCATGGACTCTTCTAAAGGTATTTCTACAACTTCAATCAGCTCGCCTTCTTCAGCTTGGCCACCTCCTTCCCCAATTCTCATCTGGTCTGTGACTTCTGCATAAAATAATGTCTGGCTAGAACCTGTCACACCAACTCCAGATCTGGAAAAAAAGCAGAAGGTAAACTTTGGTTTAGATAAAAAGAAGGTAGCTAGGAACTAGGAATGGAAACATGGGCCCTTAACTTGAGTCACTAAGCAACATCAAAGTGCTCATCCTTACTCTCTGCTAATGTCATTTAGCACCTATAAATGCAACTCTGATAATACAGAAGTTGTTCAGAAATTTCATGCAGAAATACCGACACTTTTGAATGCAGTTGCACATGATACAGATCCATCTTCAAATATACTGTGCAACTTTGGAAAATGTTAGTTTGGGAAAACATAAAACAGTTTTTGAATTGGTGAATTGTTGTTCTACATATACTAAAGTCAACAGAAGGTTTTTCAACTGACCTTAAGGAGAGCTGGGCTGCTGGATGACTCACAGATTTACAAACAGTGCATCTGTACGCAATTATGCTACATTTGTTTGCTTGTTTTTACACTAATATTTAGGGGTTTTTTACTTAAGAAGATTAAGACCATTCACAGCTGGAGTCCTCTGCTCATGGACTGGATAGATACAAGAATAGAAAGGTAGCCTGAGAGACTTTCTCTGTCCTTCCTGAACTTTAGCCTTGGCCAAAATGGACCACTGTAAGCACATGTGTATCTAAAGTAATTCAGTCTCCCTGTTAAATTTGCTACAGTAGATTTAGTGGAGGATATTTTACATGCTGTAAACTTTCTCCAGCTAGACCATTTGCTGTGTATTATACTTGTTATTCCTTAATCCTCTATTTCCTTAGGACTATTTCATTTAGGTATTATTAAATAGGGGATAAGTACATAATCCACTCATTTAGTCCTTCCAAGAAAATATTCGCATCCTAATCGCAACTTCTTCTTTTCACATTATTACAAGTGACTTTTCACATTAAATCTGGATCAAAAGTTCACTGAAACTATGAATGAGGTATTAGGGCAAGCTGAAAAATTAGCTTCTATATCATTATACATACAGAGGATTCTAAGATTTGTAGCAGTGTTATGATCTTAGAGTGAATATCCATACTTGTCCAACCATTAGTCAACTGAATCTTTCAGTTAACCTAGCATACATCTCATGCCATAGCAGGAATTAATAATTTGTCTTTCAATTTTCTAAGAACATTGACAGTTTTGTTTGGAGAATTAATAGTGATTATTGAAGTTGGTTTCTTACACTCCTTTTTTTAAACATAGAATAAGGAGCAAACTAGTGAATTCTTTTCCCAGCATTACTTCTGATATCTTGTCCAAAGTTACAGAATGCGTTTCACCCCTCCAGGATCATTCCTATATATCTAAGAAGACAAACTTAATCATCTTCAGCACTTCCAGGAACTTTGAAGGCTGCTATGGGATTTCTTTCATCTGGGGCTCACCACTTTATTTCAATGTCAGTGGTGGGGTTTTTTGGATACATGTTTTAACCAACAAAATGTGACCTACTAGCACAGTTTTCCCTCTCACTTCCGCTTTACCGAAGTCCACAACCTCCTTCAGTCAAACTGATTCAGTACTTACGTTCCCTCTTTTCTGCAGCCTCTGTCCCTGGTATACACTGTTCTGATGACCATCAGAGATGGTTTGCCAATAAAAGAGACATCCAGAGCTGACAATCAGGGCTGACTGTACGTGGCACTGGCACCAGATCAAATGTCTTCTCAGGACTCCCTGTGCCACGCTCCCTTTCCCCTTCTCTGATGGGAAGCTGCCTGGAAAAGTAATGCCGTTCACCAGCCGTGCTGCCACTCATCTCATTTCAGCTGAAGATCTAGCCAGCTGACAGCAAGACACAAACACAATCTTTGCCAGCAGCAGGAGTTGTAAACTGGGCACACCATGCTGGCTTAATCATTCTGATCTCGTTATAAAAGTATCATAGACCTATTTTTCATCAAGTTGCCATCAGCAACCAGCTCGCAAAAGTTGGAATGTCATTTTTTATGCTCATATTCCATCAGCCCTTTCTGCCACGAGGACAACAGCACACTTTACTAGATTCCCTTTGTGTTAAAATATATTGTATTTTTCTTGGTATTATCAAGCAATAATATATAATGTTAAAAAGCAACACTGGAACTGAAATACTAATTAAGAGACACAGCTTTAGTCTCAGTGGACACTCTTCCCCCAGCTTAGTAACCCTGATATCTGCCACTGACTGATCGTCGGCCTGTGTGCTACCCAGCCCTCACTATTGTAGCCACGTCCACTGGAAGTCTTCTCACTGAGAGAAGGTACTTGTGATGGAATAATAGACTGCTCACTTTTTGTTCCCTCTTTTCTTTCTTCTTTTCTTGTGTTAGGAGGCAGAAAGGATTTTTGTTTAACCAACGAGAGATCCAGATCTGTTTTTCTCTGTATGCAGTGATTACTCATTCTTCACTTTTTCCGCAAGAATTGCATTTTTAGTAATTAAATAAAGACTGGAAGTCTGGGGTTCAGAGATTGTTTTGTGGTAATTGGTAAGAACAAAACCCACGTGTTCATTTATACTGTGAAATTTGCAAGACAAAGAATGTGGCTTCTAGTCTCTACAGGTACTATGAAAAAAACACAAGACTATGCATAATATATTTCATGTTGTTATTTCTCATGGGTGTCAAGTCTCAGCTTCATTTGGGTTGCCACACCTGGAGAATGAACATGATCCTAAATTGATTATAGCCACATCCACTTGACATTATGTAAAGATTATATACAAAACCATAAGAGACTTTATTTAAGAAGCCCTTCCATAAGAAACTTCTGGCTTGATTATTTGAGCATAATCTCCTTCTATGCCACCTGTGACCATTTACTGATGAAGTAGCTGCAGCTGTGGGAATCACAGTTCACTTTCCACATACCTTTTCTTTAAAGAAAGGGGAAACTGCTCCCTAAGATGCCACACCATAAGAATTAGCTTCTAGCTGTGGTAGCTCAGAGTGTGATTTCAACATGCTGTTACTTCATTGTATGTACTCTTATGATACTTCTATTAAATTTGTGTTTTTCTTCTTATTAACTAAATACATTAAGCATAGCTACCACATTGAATATACTTTAAAAAATAAAAGCACTGGACAACTCACTGGTCTGTTCTTTGTTATGATGCTCAAAGTTATGGCATTTCTTCACATATATTGCCACATAATTTGCCACAGAAAACAACAAAAAGTTTGCAACAACACATATTCAAAGGACCACATACCCACATGCTCATTCTTTCTTATTTGATTACCTAACTTATATTTCTCTGGTGTAACTTTGTCACGAGTTGTTCATTAAAAACTAATAAAAACTTTCAGATAAGCTATAAATAAAATCAACGAGCACTGGTATTAATACTCATGTTATTCTATTCTTCTCTTTCCCTCCCAAAAAAGAAAAGATGACTTGGAATCCCCTCACTATTTTGACAGGTGGCTTTGTAGACTATTGCATTGTATTATTTATAATGTATTCACTGCTTTTACTCATTGTCTACGTAAATGCCCATTTCATTGGTTTGAGAAAGAGGCTGAAAGATACAGGAATATAATTTAAATCACAAAAAAGGCATATTTTTTACCTTTTCTTGCTTGGTATTTCTTTCTCTAAACTCTCTGGCTCACTCTGCTAGTTGATATTTTTTGCAGGGATCCACATGAAATGCCCTTTCTAAATTAAATAATCTCCTTGTTTACTGCTGTCTTTCACATTTCCAGACTCTTACCTATTAATGTATCCTGCCTGTCCTTAGAAAATTGTCCAAAATCAATGTTATTGACATTTAATTTGTCTTAGTACCTTTGATTTTTACAGAAATCAAAACTTATCAGGTTTGTTGCTTTGATGCTGTTCTGAACCTCCATCTTGTTGAAGTTATTAAGTGTTTTAACATTTACCCTTGGAAAATGTGTACTCATTTCAGTGATTTTGGGTACTGGGGCTGGAGAAGGAAGAGAGCAGAGAGGGAGAAGGTGGGTCTGACTGGTAAATAAGCAACGGGCAGCTAGTATGTTTTCAGTACCTTTTCAGGTTTATCTATCACTAGCCACTTCCTATGCTTTTGCATACTTACTTTTACTTTCCAATTATGATGTCTTAGGAATTTAGACATACCTTTAATCATGTCTATGTTCCTTTTTCTTCTGCCTTCTTCCTCTATCCTAAGTCTGTGACATATGTTTTATCTTGCCCTAGTATTTCACATTACAAATAAATGCTTTTGCCATGGTCTGAAATGAGTCACCTATTAACAGATTACAGCTATATTCATTAGCTTTGCATCTGTGGAAATCACAGGGGTCAGCACACCTGAACTGCAAGTGATGAGTTTCACCCTGGGAAAACTACCCTCCTGATAAAGGTGCCTTCTCAGTACAGCGGGGCTTGGTTTGGGGCAGGGCAAGCAGGGTTTGAACTCGCAGCACCAATCCACAGGGGGACTTCAGGCTTCAGTCTCACTTCACAGGTTTAGCACCGTGTTGCCCAGAGCAGGCACGTCATGGTTCATACTGACCCAGACCTACTAAGCCTGGCTTGACCTAGCTGATTGTTCCAGATGTATTTTGATGAGTCTGGAGGGTGCTTGACTCTCATTCACCACTGTGCGGCAAATGCAAATGATCTACACAAAACACAGCTCTTTTTCTCATCTCTTTATCATGATGATCAGTTTCCTCTAGAAGTTTATAGTTCTTCAAATTCGCAGCTACGTGGCTGACAAATACTCTTTGTCAAATCATTAGGGCTTAAGTTCACAAACCCTGTAACTTCAGTAGATATTTTTAAAAATAAAACTCTGTTAGCACTAAACTTTTAGTTTTGCTTCGGAGACAGAAACCTCTGTTACCTTTGACAACAGCAAGTTTAAGAATGCAAGCATGTCAAAGTAAGGATAACAAAGTTGTATGGTTTTCATCACAATAGTAACTTAAATGTAAGTTTAACACACCAAAACAAGATTGTGTGATGCATTCCTGTATTTCATTTTAAATAAAACACCCAAACATTGTGATTAAATCATGCTATGGCTTTCAAAGC